CAATTTCTGAGTATTGTTACTCAGTGAGTACTCAGTTACTCATGTGAGTACTCAGGAAATATTCATTCACCATTTTATTTTGCTAAACTGAAAAAATATAAAGAATGTAGAATTCAGTGAAGAAACACAGAATATTTATAGTATTATTTTCTCACTGGTCTCTCTTTATATAGTCAGAGACAGACTTGTCTATGACTAGACTTGTAGTCCTGCTCTGGCTACCTGAGATCACTCCTCTGTATGAAAATATCAGATGAACAATACTCATGAGTATTTTGGCGAAAGTGGTATGAGCACTCAACAATCAAGCATGAGTACTCGTAGCATGAGTAAGTCGTACTCAGGGTACTTGTTACTCACTCATGAGTACTCAGGTGAGTACTCAGTGAGTAAAAAAAATGTATGAGTACGTATGAGTACTCGTCCGGTTTTTCTAGCAGAGTACTTTTTGAGTACTCACACTTGAGTACATGCACTAGGGCAGGAGCGATCAATCAATTTAGTATTTAGCTGCTTTTAACTGGATGACAGTCTTTACTTTGGATTTTTCACTGTGCTTCGAAAATTTTAACTCTATGTATTCGTTTCTTCTACATTTCGTATCATGTTTTTCAAGAACAACTTTTGACCTCACCATATTCTGAATTCGATATCTCAGTAGCGGGAAAGTCTCAAAGTATAGATCGGTATGGGTAACTTTCGGTATAGAATCCTTTATTGAATGAAATCAGAAAAGATTATCTTGGTTTATTTGCTAAATTATGACGTTTTCAGACGTATACATACGTCCTCTAATAACATTACTGTGTGTGTTTATGAGTGATAGTAAGCCGTCTTCTAACTCTTTGCACGTCTGTACGAAACAGTGTGTAATTTTTATCTACGAAAACGGTTCTTTTACAGGAGAAAAGTATAAAGAGAAACTACCCTATTATACTTGGATGCGTATAGTCGTAATATAAGATTTCGTTTTAGTTAATTACATTTAGAAATGTCAACACATTAGTCACAGATCCGTCAACACGCAATTCAATATTTGACAAATTCAAGGACATATGCTCATGTGCCAATCGTATTATCGAAAAGAATCCTCTTATAATAAACTATTGGATTCATGTTGCCAATGGAGTATACAAAAAAATAGGGAAAACGGATGACCAGCAAAAAATTCGTGATATGCTACTGCAGCATGATGATCTTATCAATGACGACGAGGTATCAAAACAAAGGTTTCACATAGCAGAGCATGTACACATCGTTATTCTAGACGAGAAGAACGAATATGAAGGCCATAGTCTCAAATATTTGTACGCTAAGGTATTTGTTATAGAACAACCGTTTCATTACGTCATTGCTATAAACTCACTACTGCTGTTAACGATTTCGGATGAAAATACGCGAAATTTTATTGGGGCCGCTATTCTCTTCTATCAGCTGACAAAAACAATGACTGCGCAGTTAATTGAATTGGAACAGACTTCACCCACTCCTGGATATGTACCTAAACGTGCACCAGAACGTGCTGCGTACACTATACCCATGAACAACTATTTTGTCGCATACACGGATATCAATAAATCTGCTCATTTTCCCGTTAAAGGCATACGACGAAAATGCTTCAACGCATTTGGGAAAGCATGGGATGGCGGCAACGGATTTCAGCACACATTCTTCAACGGCGAAGTTCATTTAGACGATGTTGGGGTTTTGATTACTCGTTATAACACACAATATGGGAAATTGATTGATTCCACCGTTTTGTATACGTTTTTTCAGACTTATCAACTAGATGAGATAACACGTTATGTCGAACGGAATGAAGAGTATCTGCCAACATCGAGCCAATGTATTGTACGAATCGATCGAGAAATGTATGAATATAAACTATCTGTTGCATTCAAACCGACACTAATATATGACAATGAAATGGTGACTCCACCCATGGAGATACTCAGAGTTACATGTGGTGGTGGTCCGACCGTCTGTTTCGAGTTGTCATCCGAAGACAAGTACTTCAATGACAACCGAAACTTGTTTACCAAAATTAGCCCACAAAACTTGTTTCGATCAGGAGTAGCAGCTGAAACTTTTTTATTTCGCACATCAAGGCTAGAACGGGATTAGATAAAGCTGATTTTAAGATAAATAAGTGAGCTATATCTGGTCATCCTCGTCAACTCGTATTTCATTGGTACAGCCTCGAGTTTTTCAAATTATAAGACCCGGAATGTGCCTTCGCTCCGAATTCCGAGAAAATAACCATATGCCATGTCAAGCAATGCAGACGCTCAAACAAATTGTTTGACAGTCGGTATTATAAACGTCATGATACACGTGAACTCGTTTGAAATTCTTCTTACAAGATAACGTGATCATTTTTTGGCAATAATATTGATGCATGAAATCGTGCATTGTATCGAACCGTAGAAGCCGCTAAATAATCCGTAGCTAAATAATCCTAAAGACTATAAAAAAGAATGTGGTTTCGCATTTGAACGAATTTTCTTTACGTCCAAAGTCGGGTAATTCCACACACATCCGCCCACTTTATATACGACCTAAAGTCGACAGGTTTGATAGACAAACAAGAACTGTTATATTGAAGTCTTTCTTATTGTTTTAAAAATCTTGTTGCATATCGCCGCAGAACGCCATCTTCCCTCGAACAATGAATGACCACTACTATGTCTCGACTACGCTCTTAAAAAAAACGTATATTACAAAACCAAAATAGGGTATTTGCATTTGTGACCATACGAAATGCATTCAGACTTAGAGTGCCAAACCCGTTCCGTTTTTTAAAACATTGCTTTAACAGTAAATGCAAAAATGGATAAGGGTTTGTTATACGTATATTGTGGCTATTGTACTTAATTTCAAAAAGCTCCTATAGTATTTCGAAATACGCCTGACCATATTTGAAGCAGTATTCAAGCGTACTTCTCATACCTGTACTCAGTGTTGTACTATATCCTTTGATCTGTAGATAAAATACATTTTATTGCTACAGAGATAACCACTAACGAATTTTTCGCTTTCGAAAACGATGTATGAGCCGAGCCGAAAAAAAACGTTAGAAACGGCACGAAAAACGCTTTTTTTTTGTCAATTTTTTTATCCCTGGGAGTATTTTAAACATTCAAGTGATTTCAAAAACTATTGGGTTTTTCAGTGATTTTTAGAAAAGTTTACGCTAAACCAGCTTTGGTTCTTCCGGGAAGAGATAAACCGACGAGAGTTCAGAAAAAAAACGAAAAAATGTGTCGTTCATATCACCGACAAAAAATTAAACTTCATTTAGAGTTGAAGAAAAATGCTTTTTCGTATTCAGCACACTTGATAATCTGGAAAATTTTCTATTTTTAGCGAGAGGTACCGCCAAAAAGTTAAGAAAAATTTTCAAAATTGTATAATTTCACCGTGGAGATTTTTCTGCGTCAGTTTGTTTGAAAATTTTTCTTAACTTTTTGGCGGTACCCTTCGCTAAAAGTAGAAAATTTTCCAGGTTGTCAAGTGTGCTGAATACAAAAAAGCACTTTTCTTTAACACTAAATGAACTTTAATTTTTTTTTATCGGTGATATGTTTACAATACCCAAAGCTTTTTGCAAAAAAATAGAAATACGGTTCTGTAAAAAACCAAAGTGTTTCGTAATTACTATAAAATGCTTTTGGGTTATTTTATCTGTTTAATAAACCACTTTCGATTTTGGGACGGAAAGTAAAAACCCTTTTGATTTTGTACGATACGTTTTGTTTTAGAGTACATCATCGCTGTCTGTATTAACACGACTTCAAGCCCCGAAAACAAAATGCTCAACCCGAAAGCGGAAACGAAAGTAAACGTTCTTAGTATCGATAAGAAATAAAGATGAGATTTTTTGGTCTAAATGCTATATGATATACTGTACTGACTGATGAGATCAGATCTTTGAGATATGGCCGGGCTTTGATTCGCTTATTTTTGATTTTACGGATTTTAATTATGTCAATAGTTTCTATCGAATTTGGACTCAGAAAGTATAAAATATTAGAACGTATATTTATACGGAATATAAAGAAACTATACGTAGATTTTGCTTTGATTTCAAAGTTAAGAGAAAGTATAAAACACTACGTATAAGTATGATAAACTTCATTACTTAAGAAATTTATTTAGGAGCTTTCAAACACTATACTGTGTTCATCATGGCTGATAGTGTTTGAAAGCTCCTAAATAAATTTCTTAAGTAATGAAGTTTATCATACTCATACGTAGTGTTTTATACTTTCTATAAAGAAACTGACCAAAGACCAGCAGGCACTATCTAAGCGATCGCCTGCATTGATTGTGATAAAATTAACATACAGCATTAAGACAGACACATCGCAAGCTTTTTAATTCCGAGGTAATAGTCTCTTCATCATCAGAACTATCGTCGGAATGAGATAAAATAGACTCCAACACCTTATCTTGGCCAGGTGCCACTAATTCTAAATACATATTTTTAAACGACAATTTTCTCAATTTTAGCTTGTTCAATGAAGGGCGCAGAGAGTGTAAATGATGGGTCTCTACTCATATTGTCATCAGTTTCCTCATTAAGAATCACTTTTTCATAGAACACCAACATTTGACAGCGAAGCAAACTTGTCTAAAGAGCACTTTTACATACTATATTTTAAATTACTTCGACAATACTAAATTCTTTTGTCTTGTTTTGTGACGTAATATATTTAATATAATTGAAAAAAGTACAAGCCGTTCCATTTGTAAGCCATTTAGCGATATGTTGAAATAAAATCTGGTTTCTTCTTCTATAGTCTTTCTATCTCATGAATGCATTCTAAGCCTTGTTTATGCCTGTTCTATGTTTTTGACATTTTTCTGTTACTTTGTACGACCAAACTTATTAAATAATGGGACCTTGGTTTTAGATCATGTCATATATATATATATATCTATCAATGCCGTTTGTTTGACCGGCTCATCATAACAAATAAGTTTCAATGCAAAGGAAACCTTCAAATATAGGTTGGATTAGACCATGAATATGACTGTTTTTGCTAAAATATGATTAGATGTAGTCGGATAATATTTACTATGTTATTAATATTTCCTTAATTTGCACTTTTCGTTCAAGTCTTTCGTAAGCTGTTATACTTGGTTCGTCTAGATTTAGTTTATGATCATTAGCAATAGTATGTTGAGTATCATTCGTATATATATCTTCATTCAGTAACTTTTTATCATGATAGTCTATTCTAACATTGACTTCTTTACGTGTTTGTCCAATGTAAACTTGATCACAATCAATGCAGGCGATCACTTAGATAGTGCCTACTGGTCTTTGGTCAGTTTCTTTATAGAAAGTATAAAACACTACGTATAAGTGTGATAAACTTCATTACTTAAGAAATTTATTTAGGAGCTTTCAAACACTATACTGTGTTCATCATCATGAAATACAAAATTATTATTCTTTTTATGAATCCAGGCAAAATTACGGCAATAATTCCGATGGCAGCATTCCGAGCATGTACTAGATTAATTTATTAACATTAATTTATTAGAAAAGCATCTGCTTTTACATCAAAATGATCAAAACATCATCTGATAACCTGCCGAAGTCGTCCAAGATCATAATAAATATAAAAACCTGAAGCTAGGAGCACGATATTTAAAGGATTATCCAGCGTATTTTCGGCCACTAGAGTGACCGTCTTATTAGTTGTAGTAACAGCTTTGGACGCAAAGAAAACGCGTTCAAATGCGAAACCGGATTCTTTGTTAGCATCTTCGAAAGAAAAAAAGAACGGATTATCTGGCGGCTTCTGCGGTTCGATACAATGCACGATTTCATGCAGCAATATTATCGCCAGAAAATAATCCCGTTGTCTTGTAATAAGGATGTTAAACGAGTCCGGGTGTATCATGACATTTATAATACCGGTTTTCGAACGATTTGTCTGAGTGTCTGCCACGCTTGACATGGTAAACGTTGATGTTGGATCATTTTCATCCAATAAAATTATTAATGTGTCTTCGGGTACATGAAATTTTATACTGCTCAATAATGCTTGTAAATCATCATATTCGACGGTTATAATATTTAAGCTATTTAATAATAACTGCTCCGCTTGATAGCGATCAAAATTACCCTTTTCTATTACATCATAAACATTTTTATTAAGATTAATCAAATAAGCGAGAATAGATGAATTTTTTTCGATGATTTTGTTTATTATCTCAACGGCTGTCTGTAGCGAATATTTTTGTAGCGGTCGTATTATTGGATGTCTAGTTACAAGATTAACGTTTGGTATATGGATGAAATTTCTATGAATTGGGAGCAAATTAATCGGCTGGTGCTAAACGAGAAGCACAAGGTTTTTGATAGACTGCATCAAATGTGGGCAAGTCCGAATATTTTCAAGTAGTTGATACTTCTGTGAAATCAAGGATCGGAAACTTTTTTGTTATTTTGATACTCAGCTCATTAGTGATGTGTCGTTGGATAACAAGCACATAACTACTTTATCAGAGTAGGAAATCATGGAATCTCTGCTCTGTATAGTTAACGGCTTGGCCAAATGTTACGGAATTTCATTTTTTTTGTCTTCTGTGCCCCTTATCTCGGCAAGAAAGCAACGTTTATCAATGAAATTTACACCAATGATGGATATTAGGGAGTTCTACTACCACCAAAAACAATTTGAGCTTGATTGATCAAGCGGGTGAAAAGTTATAGTCAAAATAGAGAAGATCGTTACGAAATTTCAACAAAATGGAAGTGTTTTTCGAAGTATTTCGGTAAAATGTAAATTATTCAACCTCAAATTAATTTTAAATGATCGCTTGATTACTGAATTAAAGCTCACAGTTTGGGCTATCAGATTCACTATTGACGTTTTCTTGAATTAATTCCCTGGCAGAGAAAATCGAATAAAAGTGACCGTTACGGAATTTCACTGTTTTTTGCTCTTCTTTGCAGATGGTTTGGTATATATTTTTTTCTGCCACAGAACTACTTAGCCAGCTCTGATTTGCACATAGATAGACAGTTTGAGGTGCTCTTCATCCCATGCAGGCAAAAATAAATTTTCAAAGTTAGATTAAATGAGCATAAAATTGCTCACAAAGTA